AATGGGGTGCCTGGGTGGCTCAGTCAGTTAAGCATCTGACTTTGTTAAGCTCAGGTCATGATCTCACGATTTGTGGGTTCGAGTCCCATGTTGGGCTCTGTGCTGACAGTTCAGAGCCTGGAGCCTGCTTCATCTGTGTCTTCCTCTCTCTGTCCCCTACCCACTCACACTCTGTCTCACTCAAAAATAAATAAACATTAAAAAAATTATGTATATATATATATATACATATATATGTGTGTGTATATATATATGTATATATGTGTGTGTGTGTATGTATGTGTGTGTGTATATATATATATATATATATATATATTAAAAGAAGACCCTAAATAAACAACCTAACTCTACACCCTAAGGAACTAGAAAAACAAAACAAAACAAACAAAAAAAACAGTGAGCCAAAAGTTAACAGAAGAAAGGAAATAATGAAGATTAGAGCAGAAATAAATGAAATAGAGAACAACAACAACAAAAACACAATGGAAAAGATGAACCACACTAAGAGTTGGTTCTTTGAAAAGATAAACAAAATGAACACAACCTTAGCTAAAATAACCAAGAGAAAAAGAGAAAGAACACAAACCAACAAAGTTATAAGTGAAAAAGGAGACATTAAAACTGATACCACAGAAATTCTAAGGATCATAAGAGGTACCAGGAACAACTATGTGTCAACAAAGTGGACAACCTAGAAGAAATGGAAAAATTCTTTAAAAAATTTTTTTTAGTATTTATTTTTTTTGTGTGTGAGAAAGAGAGCATGAGCAGGGGAGGGGCAGAGAGTGAGAGAGACACAGAATCCAAAGCAGGTTCCAGGCTCTGAGCTGTCAGCACAGAGCCCGACGCGGGGCTCGAACTCACAGACTGCAAGATCATGACCTGAGCTGAAGTCGAACACTTAACCGACTGAGCCACCCAGGCGCCCAAGAGATGGAAAAATTCTTAAACTTATAACTTGCCAAGACTGAATCAGGAAGAAAAAAAATGTGAATAGACCAATTATTAGTAAAGAGATTGAATTAATCATCAAAAATATCCCAAAGAAGAAAAGTCCAGGACCAGATGGCTTCACTTGTTAATTTTACCAAACCATTAAGGAAAATTAACACCTGTCTTTCTCAAATTCTTCCAAAAAATCAAAGAGAATGGATCACTTCCAAACTCATTTTATTAGGCAATCTTTACTCTGATACCAAAACCAGAAAAGGACATTACTAGAAAAGAAAATTATGTGCCAATATCCCTGATCAATATAGACACATAAGTTCTTAATAAAATACCAGCAAACAAAATTCAGCAGCATATTAAAAGGGTCATTCACCATGATCAAGTGGGATTTATCCCTGGGATGCAAGGATAGTTCAACATACGCAAATCAATCAATGTGATACATCACATTAATAGAATGAAAGAAGAGAATCATATAGTCATCTCAACAGACACTGAAAAAGCATTTGACAAAATTCAATATCCATTCATGCCAAAAAGTCTTAACAAATTAGGAACAGAAGGAATGTACCTCAACACAACAAAGACCATGTATGATGAGCCCACCCTTAACATTATACTACATGATGAAAGGTTTAAAGCTTTTCCTCTAAGATCAGGAACAAGGTGCCCACTATCACCACTCCTGTTCAACATAGTGGTGGAGTCCTAGCTAGAGTAATAGGCAAGAAAAAGAAATAAAAGGTATAAAAATTGGAAAGGAAGAAGTAAAATTCTTTCTATTTGCAGATGAGATGAAATTATATACAGAAAATCCTACAGATTGAAAGAAAAAACCTGTTAGACCTGATTAATGGATTCAGTAAAGTTTCAAGATACAAAATTAACATACAAAAACCAGTAGAGTTTCTATACACTAACAACACGTTTTCTGAAAAGGAAATATAGAAATCCCATTTACAATGGCATCAAAAACTATAAAATACTTACGAATAAAACTAACAAAGGAGGTGAAAGATCTCTATTCTGAAAACTATAAGATATTGATGAAAGAAATCAGAGAAGACACAAATGAATGGAAATATCCTGTGTTCATGGATTTTAAGAACTAATATTGTTAAAATAGCAATACTACCAAAAGCCACCTATGGATTCAATGCCATCCTATCAAGATTCCGATGGCCTTTTTTACAGAAGTAGAAAAATCCCTCCTAAAATGTATATGGAATCACAAAAGACCCTAAATAGCCAAAGAAATCCTGAGAAAGCAGGAGGTACCACACTCCCTGATTTCACGCTATGCTATTAAGTTATAGTCATGAAAACAATACGGTACTGGCATAAAAACAGACAAATAGACCAACAGAATAGAGCCCAGAAATAAACCAAACTACATATGGTCAACTAATACTTGAGAAGGGAGCCAAGAATACTCAATGGAGAAAAGACTCTTCAATAGATGGTTCTGGGATAATTGGATATTCACCTGCAAAAAAATAAAGCTGAAACCATATCTTATACCATTCATAAAAATTAACTCAAAGTAGATTAAAGAGTTAAATATGAGACCTGAAACCATGCAACCCCTAGAAGAAAATATAAGAATAAAGCTTCTTGACATGGGTCTTGGTAATGATTTTTTGGCTATGACACCATAGGCACAAGCAACAAAACATAATCAAATTAAAAAATGTCTTCACAGCAAAAGAAACCATAAACAACCTAGTGGAAAGACAACTTACGGAATGGGAAAACAAATTTGCAAACCATACATCTGAGAAGGGGCTAGTCATCAAAGTATATTAACAAACCCATAAAACTCAATAGCAAAAAATCAAGTAACCAGATTTAAAAAATTGGCAAATGTCTTAAACAGACATTTTCCAAATAAGACATATGAATGGCCAACAGGCACATGAAATGATGCTCAACGTTACCAATCGTTAGGGAAATGCAAATCAAAACCACAATGAGATATCGCCTCACACCTTTTAGAATGGCCACCCTTAAAAAGACATGAGAGAACAAAGACTGGCAGGGATGTGGACTGCTGGTAGGACTGCAAATTGGTGCAGCCACTGTGGAAAACAGTATGGAGGTTCCTCAAAATATTAAAAATAGAATCGCCATTTTATCCAGTAATTCCACTTACGGGAATTTATCCAAAGGAAATGAAAACACTGAAAAGATACCTGCACCCCGATGTTCACAGCAGCATTATTTACAACAGCCTAAACATGGAAACACCCCAAGGGCCCATCGACAGATGAATGGATAAAGAAGAGGCGGTGTGTATAGACAATGGAAAGTTACTCAGCCATAGAAAAGAAGGAGATCTTGCCATTTGCAACAACACAGATGGACCTAGAAATACTATCTGATCTCACTTATATGTGGAATCTAAAAAAAAAAAAAAAAAAAAAAATCATAGAAAAAGAGATCAGACTTGTAACCAGAGGTGGAGGGTGGAGGAAGGGGGAATTGGAGGCAGGTGGTCAAAAGGCATAAACTTTGAATTAAAAGATAAGTAAGTACTAAGGAGGTAATGTGCATGATGACTATAGCTACCATTGCCATATGATGTAAAGGAAAGCTGTTAGGAGAGTCAATCCTAATAGTTCTCATCACGAGGAGAAACATTTTTTACTTTTTTTTGTCTTTCTTTTCTTTTTACTGTTACCTATCGGAGAAGAAAGATGTGCAGTAAACCTATTGAGGTAATCAGTTCACAATATATGGAAGTCAAACCACCATGCTGTATGCCTTAAACTTATACAGTGATGTGTGTCAATTATTCCTCAATAAAACTGGAAAAAAAATAGAACTATCATATGATCCAGCAATTGCACTTCTGGGTATTTAGCTGAAGAAAACAAAAATACTAACTTGAAAATACACATGTGCCCCTATGTTCATGGCGGCATTATTTACAATAGCCAGGACATGAAAACAACCTAAGTGTTCATCAACAGACGAATGGATAAGGAAGATGAGGTATATCTATCCAGGGGGATATTATTCAGCCAGAAAAAAGAAAGAAATCTTGCCATTTGCAATAACATGGATGGGTCATGAGGGCGTTGTGCTAAGGGAGAGAAGTTAGACAGATAAATACTGTATGATCTTATTTATATGTGGAATCAAATTAAAAAAAGAAAAAAGAACTCATAAATACAAAGAACAGATTGGTGGTTGCCAGAGGCAGGGGGTGGATGAAATGGGTAAAGGGGGTCACAAGGCACAAACTTGCAGGTACAAAATAAATAAGTCCCAGGGGTGTCACGTAGAGCATGGGGACTATAGTTAATAATAAGGTATTGCATATTTGAAAGTTGCCAAGAGAGTCGATCTTAAGAGTTCTCATCATACGAAAAATAAAAATAAATTTTGTAACTATGTATGGTGACCAATGTTAGCCAGACTTATCGTGGTGATCATTTTGCAAAACATGTGACCCTTCAACAACATGGGTTTGAAATGTGTAGGTCTACTCACATGCTGATTTTTTTTTTTTTAATAAATACAGTACAGTCTGGTATATGTATGATTTTCTTAATATTTTTCTCTAGCTTACTTTATTATAAGAATACCATATATGATACATGTAACATGCAAAATATTTGTTGATTGACTCTTGATGTGATCAGTAAGACTTGTAGTCAACAGTAGGCTATTATCCGTTAAGTTTCTGGGGAGCCAAAAGTTCTATGTGGATTTTCAACTGCACTGCGTGGTGGGTGGGTGTTCAGTGGCCCTAAACCTCATGTTGTTTAAGGATCAACTGTATATACAAATATTGAATACTTACGTCGTATACCTGGAACTAATATAATGTTACGTATCAGTTACATCTCAATTCAAAAAAGAAAAAGAAAATTAGACTAAGAAATGTCAGACCAAATTTCGTTTTCTGAATGGTTGTGACATCTATGAATGTCACGTGTTCGTTACAAGGACCTTTAATAATACACCTCGGGCTGGATGGAATCCAAGTCGGTTCACGACGGAAATCCCCCCCAGGAGCCCCAGGGCTGGGGGAGAAAGCTTACGCTGTATCGCTCGAAGCCGAGGAATCACCGTGGGGCTACTAGGCGGACTGGAACCATTGCTGTTCAAGCTCCTCCGTTTGTCCAAATTGGGAGAGGCCTGCACAGTGATTTTATGCTGGAAATCTGTGGGACATGGAAACAAGGAAGAATTAAGGTTTCATGGTTTTTAAGTTCCATTCATGGCCACTTTCATCAGCACAAAGCAACAAAAGCAAAAATTGCCCAAGGGTAAGAAGGCAGGTATCTCTGGCTCTGTTGCTTGGTTTCCTTCTTCTCTTCCACTCAGGGTTCAAGTCAATAAATAATGACTCAGAGCCTACGATACATTAGGTACGGTCAGATACATACAGAACAATGAGACACTGAGTACTTGCAGAATCGAACCATCTTCTGGGAAGAAGAGTTACCTCTGTGTAGCCTGATATGGTTATAAACAAAATTAGAAGAGGAGACGCCTTGGACTTAAATGAGCCTTGGTTCTGTCACTAGCAAACTCTGGACCTCAGACGAGTCTGGACCTCAGACCTCTCTGAACTGGTCTCCTCAACTGTTAGACAGAAACAACCAACATTGCACAGATTGCTGTGGTGATTAAAACAGAAAATGCAGTTAAACGCTAAGGCGGGGGGGGGGGGTGGTTTCAGGACAAAACACTCCCCCCAATACTCCCCCTTAACCTATCACATTTCTTCACGACTGTCCACTCTTCATCAAATCTAGCATAAAAATACTCTGCTCTGTTTTTACGGGGTCTTCATTTCCTTAGGGAGGCTCCCCTGTTGTATAAAACGTACGTTAAATAATTGCTTTGCTTTTTTTCCCCCCTGGTAATCTGTCCTTGACAGTCTGATTTTCAGACCCAGACAGGGACCCTAAGAGGGTCAAGGAAAACTCCCCAACCCTGTCTCAGTTAAAAGCATTTTGTGGTCAACATACCCTACAAATCATAGTTAATCTGACCCAACCTTAATATGGGCAGCTGCCACGGAAGAGTATGTTGACAATATGGGAATATACAGAAGGAGTAATGTGGCCAGAGGGAAGTGGAGGGTGTCTGGGAAAAGTCTGTCAACTGTAAGAAAGTTATCAAAACCTTAGACCCAGGTAAAGGAAATTATTGGGTGTTCTTTCAGAGTGCACGGCTGAGCTTAACCTTTGACTTTCTCTTTACAGGGCTAATTTTTACAATTCCGTCGGGGCAGAGGTTAACTTGTAGATTCTATCTGGTGGCAACACCAACAATTTCTGTCTGGTGTGAAAGACAATCCCCAAGGTTCTGGTTACTGCCATCCTGGGCACTAACCAGATTTGTATTTAACCTAGCAATCTAACCCTAACGTCCCCTTATTAAATTGCCTGTACATACTTAGCTCCTCAAATTCTCAATGAAACCAATTGTAACTGGTTCTCTGGTTATTAACGAGTTGAATAAAAATCTTGGACACGTGTCCATTTCACATTTGAAAGAGAGCTATAATTTTCCTTTCTGAAAACTATACTTTATGCTTTATTTAAAAAAATTTTTTTTAATGTTTATTTTTGAGAGAGAGAGAGAGAGAGAGAGAGAGAGAGAGAGTGCAGGGGAGGGACAGAGAGAGAGGGAGATACAGAATCCGAAGCGGGCTCCAGGCTCTGAGCTGTCAGCACAGAGACACACGCGGGGCTTGAACTCACGAGCCGTGAGATCATGACCCGAGCCCAAGTCGGATGCTTAACCAACTGAGCCATCCAGGCGCCCCTATACTTTATGCTTTAAAGAACTTTAAAGAACCACCCAGTGTTTGGAATGAGGGGAAGCTGGAATTTGGTAGCCCATACATCTATCCAATCATTCATGTTAGACGCCTGAAAATTTTTAATACTGTCTCCTCCCCCACCTTCCATATCCAATTAAACACAAAATAGCTTATAAATTTGGGGTTACAGATTCATGTCAGAGCTATCGTTGAGAAATTTATATTCTGGCTTCTGGAAGCAGCCAACTCCACATCAGAATCCCAGCTTGCCACTTCCCAGCCACATGGATTTTCGAGAGGTGACTTAACCTCCTGGGGTCTTGATGTCTCCGTATACAAAACTGGATAATAAATAGTGATTCCTACTTTGTAGGACAGCATGAAAAATTAAATACAAAGTACAGAAAATATTTAGCTCGGGGCTCCTGGCATAATACATGTTCAGTAGATACAGGTTAGTCATTCTTTTTGTTCTCTCCGTCTCTACGGCATCCATCATTCCACGCCGAACCTGCCACATTTTCTCTTGATCTTCCTGCACCTCTCCCCTGGGCCCCTCTCGTCTAGCTCACAGCAGTCAGATGCATTTTAAAAACGTATGCCAGACCATGCCATTCCTCTGCTGAAAACCCTTCAAAGGCTTTGCTTTTTTTTTTTTTTTTGAGAGAGAGAGAGAGAGAGAGAGAGCATGAACGGGAAGAAGGGCAGAGAGAGAGAGGGAGTCACAGAATCCAAAGCAGGCCCTGCACTGTCAGCACAGAGCCCGACGCCAGGTTCGAACTCACCAGCCATGAGATCATGACCTGAGATGGAGTCAGCGCTTAAGGGGCTGAGCCGCCCAGGCGCCCTTAAGTTATTTAAGTTCTTAAGTTACAGAGATCAAAATGCTAACACACTCGGGGTTCTTCGTGCCTCTAGCCTCATCCTGCCCTGTTCTCCTGTCATTTGCTATGGTTTGAACCAGGGGTCGGCAAACTTTTTCTGTCAAGTGCCACATAGGAAATGCATGGTCTCTGTCACAATTACTCACATCTGTTGATTTAGCAAGAAATCAATCATACAATAGACATAAATGTGTTCCAATACAACTTGCTTATGGAAATGGCAATTTAAATTTCCTGTAATGTTCACGTACCATGAAATATTGTTCTTCTTATTCTTTTCAAGTATCTAAAAGCGCGTGAGCCACTCTTAGCTTGTGGGCTGCACAGAACAGGTGTGGTAGGGTAGATTTGGCCCACAGTGTGCAGTTTGCTGAGCCCAGGACAAACCACACGGGTCTTTCTCAGTTCCTGGCAGGAACCAAGCCTTCTTTGCATGTGCTCTCTTCCTTCTCCCTCTGTATTCAGTCAAGTCTTATTTCAAGTCTCAATTTAAAATTTTTGCCGGGGCGCCTGCGTGGCTCAGTCGGTTAAGCGTCTGACTTCAGCTCAGGTCATGATCTCGTGGTTGGTGAGTTCGAGCCCTATGTCGGGCTCTGTGCTGACAGCTCAGAGCCTGGAGCTTGCTTCAGATTCTGTGTCTCCCTCTCTCTCTGCGCCTCCCCCACTCACGAAAGTGGAGAAGGAGAGCTGTCAGACACGCTCTCTCTTTCTCAAAAATAAACATTAAAAAAAATAAAATTTTTTGTGAATCCTTTTATTTTCATTTTTTTTTTAGAGAGAGAGAGAGAGAACACCTGGAGCAGAAGAGGGCCAGAGAGAGCGGAAGAGAGAGAACCTCAAGCAGGCTCCATACGAGGGGCTCGATCTCACAACCCTGGGATTGTGACCTGAGGCGAAATTAAGAGCTGGACGCTTAACCAACTGACCCATCCAGGTACCCCCAAATCTCAACTTAAATGTTACTTCTTTAGGACAACTCTCTTGATCTTCGTAAAGCAGGTGACATCTTTCCACTACTCACTGTCATATGACTTTTCCCTCATAGCAGTTAATAATTTTATCAAGTAAATAAGTATTTAATTATTAGCTTAAGTTTCGCTCCCCTCCCAATACAGTGTCAGCTCTACGCTGGCAGGGGCCATATAGACTCCATCACAGTACGACCCCAGCGCAGGCTGGCGAAATGCCTCGCCCATGAAAGATACTCAGTAAATCTCTGCTGAATCAATATTTTACCTGTTTACGTTTATAAGTAATGTAAGGGCAGAGATCATGTTTATTTTTTCGCAATCCCTATTACTTGATCACGGTAAATCCTCAAGTATTTGTTGAAGGCGAAAATGGTGTAAGGTTTTACAACAGAATCCGACTGGTGCTCACTTACAGTCAATTGCTGAAAAATACACAGCTGCGTGTAGGGTGGTTTGGAAGACAAAACAAGTGGAAACGAAGTAGCAGATGGGAGGCTTCCTCCATCTACCAAGATCTGACCGGGCAGAGAGCAGTCTGAATAAAGAATAAAGATCGGAGGTGAGAGTACAGTTCAGCAGGTGACTGGACTGACTGGCGGGTGGGGGAAGGTTAAGAGAAACAGTCTTACCCGTAGGTATGAAAGAGTTTATTTTAGACTGAAGTGCTTTATAAAGGTTCAGCCAGCCCCATGATACGTCAGAACACTGGAAGCAAATTCCCCACGAGTTTTGGAGAAGGAGGAGCCACCAGCCCAGAGCAGAGCAGACGGCGGCTGTGTTCTTGTAGCCCTCAGAACTAGAACCCAGAACCAGACCACAGCATGGGAACGATAAACCAGGTGGAACAAGGGATGGCCAGGTGACCAGCAGAGAACATCTGTAAGGCCAAGGAGGAGTAGCACAAGTACCAAACTGGATTTTAACAATACCTAAGATTCAGAGTGCTTCTGATCTCCTGGAAAAGTCTAAATAATTTCTCTCTCACAAAAAAAGGAGTCTAAGTTTAAAAAAAATTTTTTTAATGTTTATTCATTTTTGAAAGAGAGTGAGAGAGAGAGAGAGAGAGAACGTGGGGAGGGGCAGAGAGAGAGGGAGACACAGAAGGCAAAGCAGGCTCCAGGCTCTGAGCTGTCAGCACAGCGCCTGACGCAGGGCTCGAACCCACGAACCAGGAGATCATGACCTGAGCCGAAGCCAGACACTTAACTGACTGAGCCACCCAGGCACCCCTGGACTCTTTATGTCTTAAACACAAAGAAAATATTCTTTTTGTTTGTTTGTTTGTTTGTTGGAGAGAGAGGAGTGGAGAGAGGAGAAAGAGAGAGAGAGAGAGACCGCACGCATGGGGAGGGGCGGAGGGTGGGAGAGAACCCAAGCAGGCTCCACATTCAGCATGGAGCCCCACTCTGGGCTCGATCTCACTACGGTGAGACCACGACCTGAGCCAAAATCAAAAGTCGGACATTCAACTGTCTCAGCTACTCAGGGGTCCCCCAAATATTATTATAAATACCCTTGTCCCTGTGAGTTGGGGAAAGGTTGACTTTGTCCCAGTTCTACATTTAGGAAAACTGGCTGATGTTCAGTTTTTCATCCTACTTGAGAGAATAATTTTCTCATGGCAGATTCTCATGAGGTCCCCAGACTTTTGAGTAAAATTATACTTGTGTTTTTATTGGCAATATTGATGTTTCATGACAGTATCAGTGGGAATAATCATTTGACCCTGCAAATAGTAGCATTTGCACACACACACACACACACACACACACTCTCACATGTGCACACGTGAAGGAAGATGACTGTGGCCGGCTTTTGGCATTTCTGAAGTGGTTACAATTAGGATCCCATTGCTTTTGAAAGATAACAAATTTGAAGGCTTCAAACCTTCTTTGCCTTATTTTATAGGTTCTAAACATACAACTTTGGCCTGAGATAAACATAAGGCAGAGCACGTGGTACAAAGTGGTCACCATAGAAATACATCTACCGTGATCACTCTAAGATTCCAACAAGTTCCAAGAATTCACAAAGTACAATTTATACTTTATGTAGATGATATCGTCTACACTTTTGTAGATTATATCGTCTCATTTTATAAGCATCCACCCTTGTTTGGGGAGTGCCCATAAAGGACTGCCAGCGGAAGGATTACGTTGGAGTTTTCTAGTGGTTAAGTCATCACAGCTATAAATAGTCATAAGATTAAAAGTTATCCTCAGTGATTCTGAAGGACAAAATTATGATGAGCTAATTTTTCACATTTAATAACAAGTTTTTGGAAGAGGGAGAGGCACAAATATTAAAGGTCAGTTTGTAGGAGTCTCCAATATGCTTCTGAGAAAATTTTTAAGCTAGTTACACATAGGGAAAATTTCCTGCAAAAGGGGTTCAAGCAATTTGTACGCTGAAAAGAAACTACCACTGCCATTCGAGCTGCTGTCTAGCAGATGTTTCTTCCTTAATAGTGTACCGCTAAACAGTACTAACATTTGGTAACTCAAAGAATTTTCTAGAAGACAATAAGTTCCTTGGGGGTGCAAATAATTGCTTTCTCTTCTATACTAAGCAAATTTCCTGGAGGAAATAAGTAACTATTGTTAGTTATCATTTTTCTCTTTGGATCTTTGGATATGTATCCTACTTTGGGACACTATGCAAGTAAATTGTGTGTGTGTGTGTATGTGTACATGTGTGTGTATGTGTATATATGTACCTGTGTATATGTGTTGGGGGGGTGAAAAGTTGGGGGAATCTAAAGAGAATCAGTTTCCAGAGCAGTAACAATCTGACAACAATGTAGCAATACCTTGTGGCCAGAAGAGGTAAACCCCATGCTAAATTAAAGAAACAATTTCATTCTTTGAAAATGGATTAGGACTATAGCAGATTTTTGGGGTATGTTTTAATGGGAAATCTTTATTGAATGCCATAAGGCAAATAAGTGTAGAACAAATTCTCAGAAAGGGAGAATGTAATCCAGGAACAATATAAATCTAGCAAAAATAGTCGAATATATTTGGTCTGCTTCGAGTGAAGACAAGATATCGCGGAAACACGATTTGAGATGAAAAGCAGGAGTGACAGTGACCTCAGGAATCCTGAGACGTTTGCTTTAATCACCTTACCACTGAAGAGTAAAGAATCACGGGAATGATTTAATTTTTTTCTTCCAAGTTTATTTTCCATCAGTTTCTCATTAGCCATGCCCCTCCCAAGTCCCCCAGGGAATAGGTGAATATTAATTAGCATAACCTAGTCGCAACACAGATAGAAGGCTGATAGAGCCAAGACCTGGAGAAATTCTGAATTTTTCTATCATCTACACTTGAAAGCAGAAGCCTCATCATAAATAAAAGTTTCTTTTAAATTATGTGGGACCCACAAGACAGCACAGTCAGTGGTCCCCCAAGTTACACTTTGGCTAAAAAGCAAACATCCGAAGAGATCCTGAAAAAAAGATCTTTTTTCCTCCAGAGAGGTCAAAGGTAAAGGGAGGAAGGACCACACACAGCCTGCTTCCACTACATCAAACCAAATAATCAATAACTATACTGTGTACTCACCATGGCCACACATCAGCGATTTTCTGACTAACTGAGGGCATTGGCAATAATCCAAAAAGTCACATTATGTTGGGAGGCTTCCACGAGTTTGTGATAAGTAATTTTATGAGACAATGTATACATACTTTATATAAAAGAAAAGTGTTGTTGGGGTACCCGGTGGCTCAGTCGGTTAAGCGTCTGGCTTCAGCTCAGGTCATGATCTCGGGGTTCGTGAGTTCAAGCCCCGCGTCGGGCTCTGTGCCAAAAGCTCAGAGCCTGGAGCTGCTTCGGATTCTGTGTCTCCCTCTTTCTCTGACCCTCCCCCGTTCATGCTCTGTCTCTGTCTCAAAAATAAATAAATGTTAAAAAAAAAAAAATCTCATCCTGCCGTCTCTTCCCAGGCTGGAGACAACAAAGAAGCCCATCACACAGACGACATTCAAAACTCTTGCGACACACGCAGACGAGCGCATACCTGAAGGTAAGCTGATGCGATGTCCGTCTTTGAGCTTTAACCGACTCCGCCTGAACTTTCCCTTCCTCTTCTTGACGTTGGGCTTCTCCTGGTTTAACTGGAAGATCAAAATGTTGAGCTCCCGCTCCAGCACGTCGATCTCCCGCTCGGCCAGCTGCTGCTCCCGCCGCTTGAGCAGCGCCTCCTGGGACTTCTGCTGGAGGGCGGCCCGGGTCAGCTCCTCCTCGCGGGACCGCAGCTCCTGGGGCACAGAGCACGCGGTGTAAGCAAGAAGTGGGGTGGCTCTTCTCCAGCTCAGCCCCCCGCCGCCCCGGTCCTCCCGGGGCAGCAGCCTTGGCAATCAGGACAGCGGGAGCTAAGACCTCCCCGGCCCAGCATTGACTCAGACTACAAGCAATCCGCCTGCGCTCTGCGTCCTGAGTCTCAGGGTCCCCAAAAGGCGTCACCAATTTTTCGAACCCGATTTTAACACTTCTCCCTCCTCATCGCTCGCCCTCACGATCATCTGACACGGAAAGTGTTCAGTAACATAGAGCAACAGAGGACAGAGGTGATCGACCCATTTCCCAAATAAAGCCAAACGGTAAGACTTGACTGATTAAAGGAGAATCATTCTACTCATGAAAGACCACAGTTCAGATTTCTCTACCTGGGAAGAACTTCGTTGGGTTATTTAAGGATTTGCTTAGGGGTTAAAACATCCTGGTGGAGAGATTCCAAGAACAACAAAGCTAATGGGTCAGAAGGCAGCGGAAGGCCCAAGAGAAATGAAAATGAGCATCCCTAAAATTGTAAGCCCCTGGAAAATGAATTTTTCAGGACCCCATGGATGAATGAGAAGTATCACTTCTGACACAGATTGCATGAATTAGCTCATGAAGGCCGCTCTGTCACAATTAAAGTCTAACTTCCAAAACTTGGCTTTGGTTTCAGAGTTATTTAGCTTCATAGAAAGCCCATGAATTAAAGAATACAGTTAATCCTTGAAAAACACTGAGTTGGGAGCATTGACCCTCCCCACCCCCACCTTGCCATGGAAAATCCATATATAACTTTTGAGCCTCCAAAACATAACCACTAATAATAGCCTACTGTTGCTGAGAAGTAACACCACATAGTCAATTAACCACATAGTCAATTAACACGTATTTTGTATGTTACGTGTATTACAGAGTGTATTCTTACAATAAATGAAGCTATAGAAAAGAAAATGTTTAATAATAATGGAGAGAAGATATATTTACAGTCCTGTACTGTATTTATTGAAAAAAGCCACATATAAGTGGACCCACATAGTTTAAACCTGTGTTGTTCAAAGATTGTTCCTATTAGGGAAAAAGTACTCAATAGTAAAACCAAGAACTCTACCAAGTTTTAAAATCACACTTCCACTCTTATTTCATTTCTATAAAATGTTATGTGTGTCTTTTTTTTTTTTTTTTTAATGTTTACTTATTTTTGAGAGAGAGACAGAGTGTGAGCGGGAGAGGAGCAGAGAGAGAGGGAGACACAGAATCGGAAGCAGGCTCCAGGCTCTGAGCTGTCAGCACAGACCCCGACGCGGGGCTCGAACTCACGAGCGATGAGATCACGACCGGAGCCGAAGTCGGATGCCTACCCACCGGGCCACCCAGGCGCCCCTAAAATGTTCTCTTCTTTACCAGAGACATAAATGTTCCTTTTAGTGCTGAACTTCTTTGTCTTCTTGATTGCCCTGCTACTCAATCAAGCAGTCATACTGAAATCAAGGCACTTGCAAACTTTTATTTACACTGCTCCAGAAAATTTAATCTTAGACTGTCCTAACACCAGAAGCTTTGTTAGAAACTATAGATGCCAGCTCAGATGTAGCTTTGAGCTAGGAGCTGTGAGAGCTCCGAGGACTGGGCAAACATATCACACTTTATATAAGCAGCCACACTTGATACAGCCCATGTCAAGAATACTGATACAGAAAAAAACAAAACAAAACAAAAAAACACTCTAAAATAGAGGCTCAAGGAAGAAGCCAGAGCTGAGGCATCGGATTAAAATGTCAACTCAAGTCTGCTAATCCCTTGGACTTTTTATAGAAGGGCTCAATGAATACATGGAGGCTGTCAGTACAATTATCACAGAGGAAAAACAGAAGACCCTCATTCTGTAAATAAATATAATAATATCAAGAAGAGACTGAGGAGTTCTAAAAAAAACAAAAAAAAATTTATTTATTCAGATCAAACGAATTCTGAATTTATTGTTAATTTACAAAGCGGGCTGAAATTCACCTTTGAAACATTCTTAAAATTTGCTTTTTCGGGGCGCCTGGGTGGCGCAGTCGGTTAAGCGTCCGACTTCAGCCAGGTCACGATCTCGCGGTCCGTGAGTTCGAGCCCCGCGTCGGGCTCTGGGCTGATGGCTCAGAGCCTGGAGCCTGCTTCCGATTCTGTGTCTCCCTCTCTCTCTGCCCCTCCCCTGTTCATGCTCTGTCTCTGTCCCAAAATAAATAAAAAACGTTGAAAAAAAAATTTAAAAAAAAATTTGCTTTTTCTAAACAAAGCTCACAAAATTGCAAAAGATTTACTTAACACCGGTTGATATTCAAGTCACTTCTGCTAATATGTACCAGCTGATTCTTATTTATAAGCAGATCAGTATTTCTTCGTTACATTATGCCAGACGTAAATTACTATATACTACATGAAAGTAAAGGAAAACAAAGAAAATGCTACATATTAGAAAAAATTCTGAAATCTGTTATATAACTGATGGCTTTTTCCAACCAGTTTGTCCAAACTGGAGATCTTACCGTCGTGTATTTGGGGACAGAAGATACTTTCCAGTCAACTTTCAATGTCTAACTCATTACTGTCTGCCCTTTTGTTAAGATATTACTTTTCAGTGGTGTTGATATCAATCCAATTAGCTATTATGGAATGAAATGGCATAAGGTACAGATAAGGCCAGCAAATTCAAATAGGCTTTTTGTGTGTTACTACTACAATAATTGAAGAAGAAACCATTTTTAATTCCGGGTCCCGGGCGAAAATGTGGATCCCCTGGCCATGACTTTATAAATTAAAAACAAACAAACCCTTGCCCGAGACTTAAGAGAAAAAAAATAAGATCAAAGAGAAAACAGCCAAAGTACTCTTCTTTCTGAATGCATTTTAAAACAGTCAAAAGTAAAAGAAAAAAAAAAAAAAAGGCTGGAGTATTAGAACCCCTTCGAATACTTTGAAATTAGGAAGCATACACAAAAATTCTTTTGGTTGCTGAGATTTCTAAGCAGTAATATTTGTTTAACTGCTTGGCACAGGCCAGTCTAGTAATGGCAAATCCAGATTCCTGGCAGATGTTAATCATTAATGGCGGTATGTCTTCCAATAGTGGTTCAAAAACAGGTGCATGGACCCAGTGCACAAAGACAGACACACAAAGATAAGAAGCCAGGAATTTAGGGAGGAACCGATATCCGTGCAGGCTACAGTTTACTGAGTAACGCAGAGCACAGCCAAGTTACTGACCATTAATTCCAAGTCTGACGCCTCCTACCTTAAGCAATCAGTGAACGAGAAAGGGAGATAGTGCACGTACACCCTGCACTCGACTCTGTCGAGAAAGACGCAAGGAGAAGAAACCTTTGAGCAAAATCCAAGAACAAAAAACCCCCCAAAAGCATTATAGATTCTCTTCAATTTTGAGTCAAAGGCTCATAAGATACCATACATGTGGTATTTCAAGGAGCACTGCACAGATATCACATAAAAGGAGAAGGCAAGGACGCCATGAGAGGACAGCTCAAAAATGATTCCAAAGAATAATAAAGAAACTACTGTAAACCCCCACATGGAAAAAGGGAAGACACGCATTCTTGAAGGATGCTTTTTTGACTTTTATACAATGTAAAGTAAGAATTAATTCACTGGATATCCTTCTATCTGGCAGTGTCATGAATAATTATCAATAATTTAAAATAAGTAAATTAGATAAAAATCGTTATTAATAACATCACCTCTAAATTTTAAATCCTGTGACTTCTTTTATTTTTCCTCTAAGTTCACTCCCATTCCCCAAAATCTTTTTTTTTTTTTTTTTTAATTTTTGCTATTAAACATCTAAGAATTCCTGAAAACAATTTGGGGAAGTGTGAAAACAAAACAAAACAAAACAAAACAAATCAGTATTTTTCTCTACCCTGTTAAGTGAACGAAATGTATTAAAGTTTCCAAGAAACTATTAATAATATCGCGGAAAGTAATCCTTCGATGAAACACAAGATTTAAAAGCTAATCTGGCCGGTCATTTTCAAGCATTTTGCTGCTCAGAGGAGCCCAGTTTCCCGAACGACTGGGCCAGGGATTGGCAGCGGCTGTTAGAAGCTGCTCTGGTTCCAATCAAAGCCACCGCTTTCTTTGGCACTTGCCAAGTAATGGGCACTGCTCTGAGCCCTGTGCACACACCACCGGGTTAAGCCCCACACCACCCCAGGGAGCCGGCAGCGTGACTGTGACCTTTAATGGGGAGGAGGCCAGCAGGGAGGGAAGAGCCCCGGCTCCAGCCAGCTGTCTGGCTCCAGTCGTAACCACTTCGCTAGACTGCTACGGATTTTGGCACTCTGCTAAAAACTTATATTAAAAAAAGGGAGGGGGGGGCGCCTGGGTGGCGCAGTCGGTTAAGCGTCCGACTTCAGCCAGGTCACGATCTCGCGGTCCGTGAGTTCGAGCCCCGCGTCAGGCTCTGGGCTGATGGCTCAGAGCCTGGAGCCTGTTTCCGATTCTGTGTCTCCCTCTCTCTCTGCCCCTCCCCCGTTCATGCTCTGTCTCTCTCTGTCCCAAAAATAAATAAACGTTGAAAAAAAAATTAAAAAAAAAAAAAAAGGGAGGGGGAAGGAGTCTATCATTGTTTTTAGAATCCCATTTCGATATCCCCTTTCGTCTGTGTGGCTCCCTCGAGGGAAGGAAGCTGAATGCAGTCTACTGAGCCACCGTCTGCTCTAAGTGTCAGAAAGTTGTTGATTCCCAGACCACATTTTTTTATATTAAATATAATTTATTGTCAAATTGGTCTCCTTGTAAAACCCAGTGCTTATCCCAACAGGTGCCCTCTTCAGTGCCCATCACCCACTTTCTCCTCTCCCCCACCCCCCATCAACCCTCAGTTTGTTCTCAGTATCTAAGAGTCTCTTATGGTTTGCCTCCTTCCCTCTCTGTAACTTTTTTTCCCCCTTCCCCCTCCCCCATGGTCTTCTGTTAAGTTTCTCAAGATCCACGTATGAGTGAAAACATATAATATCTGTCTTTCTCTGCCTGACTTATTTCACTTAGCATAATACCCTCCAGTTCCATTCACATTGCTGCAAATGGCCAGATTCCATTCTTTCAAATTTTCAATTTTCTCATTGCCAAGTAGTATTCCATTGTATATAGAAACCACATCTTCTTTATCCATTCATCAGTTGATGGACATTTAGGCTCTTTCCATAATTTGTCTATTGTTGAAGGTACTGCTATAAGCATTGGGGTACAAGTAAGTGCCCCTATACATTAGCATTCCTGTATCCCTTGGGTAAATTCCTAGTAGTGCTATTGCTGGGTCATAGGGTAGATCTATTTTTAATTTTTTGAGGAACCTCCACACTGTTTTCCAGAGCGGCTGCACCAGTTTGCATTCCCACCAACAGCGCAAGAGGGTTCCTGTTTCTCCAGACCACATTTTATTATTAAAAAAAATTCTTTTTAACATTTATTATTGAGAGAGAGAGAAACACACACACAGAGCATGAGCAGGGGAGGGGCAGAGAGAAGGGGAGATACAGAATCCAAAGCAGACTCCAGGGTCTGAGCTGTCAGCGCAGAGCCTAATGCAGGGCTTGAACTCACAAACTGCAAGATCATGACCTGAGCCGAAGTTGGTCACTCAACCAACTGAGCCACCCAGGCGCCCCCCACCAGACCACATTTTAATCCCTGGAGCTTTGACCCAAGAGGCCCTACTTCCAAACTCTGCAACATGAACCCTCTGAGTTCTTCCAGTATTCCAGGGTAGCCCCTGCAATTACCATTCCCTTCTGCACACCTTCTGTTCTTTGTCCAGACTTGATTTCCAGGTCCTCCTTCTGCCTTCCAGGCCATCTTCCTTGGGAGGCTCTTTAAAACCTGATGCCAACAGTCAAACCCACTGTCGAAGGCTGCACCTGCCGGTTTTGCATTTTCCAACTTACAAAATACTGAACAATCTAAGAAGGGGGTGAATTGCCTAAGTCTACTACTTGAAAAAGAAAATGACTTCAGGAAAAGATAAGTGACTTCAGCAGTTTACACATTTCTCTCTAACCTTTAATCACTTAAAATTAGGAAATATTTAAAATATACTACAATCAGAGAGAACCGCAAATACCCATACACTCACTGTCAACATTTGACAGATGCTAAGGTTTTACCTCATCCGTTTCAGATCTGCTAAAGTCTCATGTGCAGCACGCTCTAAATTCTCTCCTCTCCCTCTTCTTGTCTGCGGTTCCTTGGTTGCCCCGTAACCCTCCCTCATCCAGACCTTCAGACTTTTGGTACATCTGAATGGCACTGGTTTATGTGTTTTACCGATTTCCATAAATGGTATCTAGCGTAACTATCCTTCTGCAACTCACTTTTTCCACTCAATTTTACATTTGAGATTTATCCTCGTTGCAACATGTAGCTAGAATTCATTCATTTTCACTGGTTTGGAGATTTCCAGTCCGAATCAATACTGACTATACTGAATCAATACACAGTAGTTTGGGCATCTGTCCCCTGTTCACGGATACTGAGGCCAATCCCAGGTTTTCACCATCACAAACCACGCTTCAGTGAACAACCAAAACTTCCCCGGGCACACATGTGGGTGTCCCTCAAGAATATGTAAGTAGAAGTTAAACAGCTGAGTTGTAAACCGCTTCGATGGCATACGATTCAGAACAGATTTCCAATACATACATCTAAATTCCCTGTTCCCCTTGAGTAATAATGGTGGTAATGATAATCGCTAGTATCACTCACCTACTAGAATACGTTTCAGGTTAGAATACATTCAGGATATTAAGAAACTTTGCGTAGGTTAATGTAACGTACTTATTTACTATCTACCATGTGCTGAGTACTCTGTTCAATGCCGTGGATGAAAATGACCAAGAATAAGATAGTGTAGCTGACTAATATATTATCTAGCAGAAATGGCAAACCAAGAAGTCAGACTCAGCGCCAGCTGAGTGTGGGATGCTGTGACACACAGCTTATCTGGTGCATCTGGGTGAGGGGAGGGAGCTACAAAGGACTCACAGCCAAGGAGCCAGCAACTGTGAGGTGGGGCGAGAAGCTAAGGAGGGGACAGTATTCTGGACCCACAAGAGCATGTATCTGGAGACTGAAGGTCAAGAGTGTGGTGGCATCAGAGGAACTGAATGGAATTCAGGACGGATGGGACACAGTGAGGCTACATATGGAAGGACAAAGGAAATTAATAAGGGAAAGAAATTGGCCGCTGAAGAAGGATGCTCAGATTTGCATTGTAGAAGGGCCATTGGAGGTGAGGGGACCAACTGGGGGAGCAAGACTGGACGCAGGGCAACCAGGTGGGATGCTGTTGCAGTGACGCAGGTGGTAAAGCGAGGACAACAGGGATTAGGGGAGGGATTCCCACTGATGGTCTCTGTCACACAGGAGACCACCAGAAACATCTTCAAAGCCCTTGGAGGCCGGGTACCAATGAGAACAGTAATCTGTCCGTCAGAGAAAGAAGAAAGCAGAATGAAAGAAGATCGGGTGGGGGTGAGGGGTGGGTTCTGACTTCGGTGTTTGGCTGGAAAATGGTGCCAAGATCCACGTCTAGCCCCTTTTAAAAACTTGTCCATAAGATCCCAGACCCCTAGCCTGCCATTCTAAGGACCTCAAGAAAAGAGACTGTTGTAATTATCTTTGTATCCCAGGACTCTAATAATGCTCCCAGCACACAGTACATAGTCAGTACATGTTTGCTGGGAAAACACAAAAGAGAACATAACCTTGAAACTCACAACAGTTTCCCCATGGACACGGTTTTAAGTTGTATGTATTTTTTAGAAAACAATTTACACGTTGGGGAGACCCTGTGACATGCCTGGGAGTGATTCCCAACTCAGTAAGACAACAGTAGACCTAAGCTTCTCAAAGACAGAATCTGGGCATGCGAGGTCTTGGTGTCACGCACAGTATTATAAAAACCAGGTCAAGAAATGTTTACGCATGGGGCGCCTCGGTGGCTCAGTCGGTCAAGCGTCTGACTTCGGCTCAGGTCATGATCTCGCGGTCTGTGAGTTCGAGCCCCGCGTCGGGCTCTGGGCTGACCGCTCAGAGCCTGGAGCCTGTTTCCGATTCTGTGTCTCCCTCTCTCTCTGCCCCTCCCCCGTTCACGCTCTGTCTCTCTCTGTCTCAAAAATAAATAAACGTTAAAAAAAAAAAAAAGAAATGTTTATGCACATATATTCAAACCACAGCTTGTTATTCCCTCTTTGCACTTGGGTTGACCATAGGCCTTTAGTATTACAGTCAATATAAAAGTCTAGACGTGTAATACAGAGCCTCTCTGCCTAAGTCCAAGTTACTCTAGCATGAGGGAATGATTCTCAGCCATGTTTTAATGTTGTAAATTTGAATCAGCAAGTGGGCTCTTTATTTAGCAAAGCATTACTGCCCTCTTAAAAAAGAATTCTACTATTTTAGAATCACAAATGTATGAGGTATAAAAATTCCTTCCTGGACAACTGCATGGCTTTGTAAAGGTTATCAAAAACTTGCGATGTTGTACTTTAGCCCAGACGTTTCTTGCACATACAAACAGAACTTAACCTCTCGGATAATTACACACTTTGGACGGGCAGAATAAGGCTTGATTCACCAAAATGCTCAAGTACTACAAAAGGGTCTTCAAAAAATTAGTGCTGAACCTATAGCACAGAATCGTGCTGTAAAGTTGGGGTTCTTAGGGACCGTGAAATCACTGTGTCACCAAAGGAGACCATGCTAATTGCATTCACTTCCCAACGTTTGCCTTCCAATAGGGTATACCTTTACTTCTCCTAGTTCGCTGTGTATGTGGTGGCATAAATGCAGCCTCAGGTATGTTTCACATAGATGTTTATGTAGTGCTTCTTAAAATAAACAAACCAAACGGAACTTAACTCATCATACTAAAAGGTTCAAAAATTATACTTTCCCAGTTTCTCCAGCAAAGCACTGCTTTGGAGATAAAAGGGTGTGTGTGTGTGTGTGTATGTGTGTGTGTGTGTGTGTATGGGGGGGTGTCTAGCATAAGAAAGGCTTTAAAAGATATAGTCAAAAACTTTAAAAAGACACCTTTGTGACAACTGTGACATTTATAGAGTACTACATGACATCAAGGAATTACTGTTACTTTTTGAGATAATAATGGCAAGAAAGTTATTTCTAAAATTCTTACCAGTTAGAGATGCCTGTTTTAAGATTTAAGGGTAAAAGGACATGAATTGAAGATTTAATTTAAAGTATTCCGTTTTTTTTTTTTAAAAAAGATGATAACGGGACTAAGAGATGTACAAAATGACAAAATACTGACAGTTACTAAAGCTGGTTAATTTATACCAAGGACTCAGTATGCTGTTCTCTCTTCTTTTAATTTTTTTTTTTTCTTTTTTACTTTTGAAAATTTCCCTAACAAACGATTGTTTCTTTTCCAACGATACATTTTGAGGACACTTCTGTTTTGCTTCGTTTTAGCCGGAAGGTAAGAATCAGTAACTATTCACGTCTGAAAATCTTTTACAATAGTGCTAACCGTGTTCTTGACGCATGTTTTCCATAATCCTCGCAAATGTGGGTGTCTTCTGCAGTGACTGCATCTCTCTCACCTTTTCCTTTGTTCTCAGTTCATCAAACATTTGCTGAATTTCTAGCTTCCAGTCATCTTGCATGGAATGAAAAGATTCCTGAGGCAGGTCGGTCATAACTGCCTTTTCAATAGCAGTCAGTTGTTCAAGGATTAAGGGAAATGATGGACGAATGTGAGGGTCCTGTTGCCAGCACTCTAAAATAAACAAGAACCACATTAATTCCGTTTCTTAGCACAGCCCAGATTTTCAGCCCATGCTGATGGTGTCTACTGAAGATCTGAAAAATCAACTGATGACGACTTTGAAAATTTTATTTTACACAGCATCCAGGTCAGTGGCACGTGTACAATATTCGCTGTTAGGTAAGGCTCTTGTGGTTTCTCTGATACGACGTGAATACTGGATGTGTGCGCTCCATGCTTCACCATGAACTGTGTGTCTCAGGGGCCTAAGCTGCCCGGCCGGTGATTTACAGGTACGGAGTTCTAGAACTTGGCCCAAGAAACCCGAAATCTCTAAAATGTTATAATCACACGAGAGGTTCTAAGAAATGGCCTCGTAATGAAGGAAGGTAACTAGCTGCCTACAAAAGGAGTCAGTTAATTTTTAAAAGCTAAACATCAAATAGATAAGGTCATGGCAAAACCACGCCGGTTAAGATCGTAAAACATTTTTGATCATTAGATGGAATTTAAAAGAGCAGAATGGAGCCAACTAAATTCTGTCTTTGAACTTGAGTGCTGTACTTGGTGAAAACTTTATTACCATTCGGTTGGATTTTGTACATAAATGAGTCACTGATAAAACCGGATTGTTTTTTTAAAAGTGACTTAATCCATCAATGCTTTACCTGATGTCTCAGATTGAAGACAAGGTTTCGGATTCATAAAATGGTACAGTTGCTTAAAAGCATCTGAAAATTAGAATCACTGCTATACCCAAAGTATCCAAAAGTACCCTTTTGGATACAAAATGCACAGATGTTCTCCTGAGCCGTTCCCCTTGCCTCCACAGACCCACAGAAACAGGGGGGCACAGATACCTTTCATGAGCTTGGCAAACGGCTCAGGGCAGGTGGAAGGAATGGGCAAAGTGAGCTTATTGACGGCTACTCCGTAAGCCACGGCAAGCCCATCGATGCCACGGTAGGGGACTTCTCCCGTGAGCAGCTCCCACAGCAGGACTCCATAGCTGGAAAGCAAAATTGCCATGGAGTTAAATGGGTCAAAGGGTGTCTTTTTCTTCCAAACACAAGGGGTGGGATAAATGCATCTGAGCCCTCATTCAGCCCTGACTAAAAATCTTCCCTTCTGGGACGCCTGGGTGGCTCAGTCAGTAGAGCGTTGGACTCCCTTAATTTTATTTATTTATTTTTTAACAACTGATCTCCCATTTTATTTAAGTTGTTATTTATTTTAAGAGAGAGAGAGAGAGAGAGAGAGAGAGAATCCCAAGCAGGCTCTGCACTGTCAGCACACAGCTCAATGTGGGGCTCGAACCCATGAACTGTGAGTTTATGACCTGAGTGAAAATCAAGACTCGGACGCTTAACAGACTGAGCCACCCAGGTACCCCTAGCGTCAGACTCTTGATTTTGGTTCAGGTCATGATCTCATGGTTTGTGGGTTCGAGCCCCATGTGGAGCTCCATGCTGACTATGGATCCTGCTTGAGATTCTCTCTCTCCCTCTCTCTCTGCCCCCACCCTCCCTCATGCATTCTCTCTCTTAAAAAAAAAAAAAAAAAAAAAAAAAGACCCTTCTCTTCCAACAAACCCTTTAGTGGCACATATTCCAAGGTGCGAGGTGGGGTCTTCCAGTGAACCCCCTGTTTAAACACACACAGGCACACACCTTCCCAGAAATCAGTTATGAATTATAGGAATTAAAACTATATAATGAATAGGAAGCATAGAAGCAGTACATAACTGAACTAAACGGATCCAGAACCAGGCCACACTTTGATGTGGTGTTTTGATGTTTCTCCTTCTATCTCATTTTTCCACACCGGGATTAAACCTCTTGAGGATTGTCAGGTCACTGAAGACATTAGCCCCACAGAAATCTCACGTTATGCACCATAGGACTTAGATACAACCATGTTGACTATTTTTAAATGGTTGTTTTGAAATTGTTCATCTTTCTGCCTCTCCCTTTATATCTTAAGAGTTGTGTTCCTAATATTTCTACCATATTGCTTAAAAGTAATGGACAAAAAACCAAAAAAAATCAGCATGGGCCTCCCAGTGCCCACTAGTAGGACAAAACATCTCTTTTTTGTAACTCTGTATCCATTAGTACCTTAGTTTCCCTTTATAATCTGCCAAACATGAAGTACAAATTAGCTTTTGTTAATACATGAAATATCAGCCACTCCAGACATCCCATTTGATTTTAAATCGAAACACACAGGCAGGTAAGGGATGGTCATGTTTTTTTTTTTGTTTTGTTTTGTTTTTAATTCTACTAACATAACAAGTATGGTCCTATTTACTTTTCTAATCTTTGAAAAAATCATTACCTTTACATTTTAAAAAAACCATTTGAAATTTAGAGTGGTAACTTGATTCTCATTACTTATGTTTGTTGCTTATATATAATGTGTAGACATAGTTTTAAAGACAGCAGACAGAAGGTAGAAAAACATGCCTGAAGAAAAGACCACACAGCTCAGAACAGCACCAAAAAAGCATTTAACTTTGGCTTTGGACTTGCTTTCTGAGTCTCATTAGATTATTTTCTGATCTACAGAGATGCGGGGGACTCAGAGCATCACAAATATAATAGAACAAGCCCTTCATGAAGGCGTGGTCTGCAAAAAGCTGGAAACTCTCTGGACTCCAGGCTCAGATCATCCCGGATACAATAACCTCTCATTTACAGACTTCTCTGTTAGTGTCTATTGGACTCTAGACACTATACCGAAAACGTTCAGAATAAGAATGTAGCCATGGCGGAATGTGCCCAATCAATGGGGCCTTGGGCATCCTCCAGCTGACGTTCTACCAGCTCTAAGTAAAGATGTTTGAGTCCCGAGGCCCCTGAGTCCAGGGCTCCCTGAGGCCGAGGAACAGGGCACCAGTGAAAGACAATTGGATCCTGACTCAGCAGACTGGAGTCTGAGTTTCGGGAGTATCACTGCTTACTAGCTGTGTCTCCACTCACAAAGCCCTTAACAGCTGATTGTGAATTAGCTGATCTATAAAATAATAGCGATATCTGTTCTGCCATCCCAAAGCTGTTTTATATATTGTGTATATATATATATATTTTTATACATATATATATATATATACAGTATATATATACTGTTTTATATTGAAAAAAGGGGAATATATAATACAGTGCTTGTAAATTATATAATGCCATAACTATTAGCAATTAAGTGGAAACCAGTATTTTCCAAAGGTAATGACCTGTTTGGTGCCTTAAAAATTATCTACATTATGATGCATTAGCAGAGATACTTTAATTCCAAGAAGAAGTAAATTTAATTTATAGACCAATCAACAAAAATCAAGTCAGAGCAGGAGACAAAAACAAAAACCTTAAAATAACTGGAAACTGTCTAAATTCAAAGCCACGTCTTGCTATTCTCATTACCACATAAGAAAACTAAAACAAACAAGAACAACAATATAACTTTGCTTCTTGGGAGTTTCCGCAAAGGAGTAATTCATGACAGGTCCTTTTTCTGGAGAGCAGAGGGCTTATGTTAAGAATTGATGTCAAGAAATGGAACTATTTCAATGGGACTATCTTTAGAATGTAATGCATATGCTTCCGTCTGCTGCAAATGGGTAGGATACAGTATAAATAAGGCTGTCTCCTGAGAGTTCAATGGCCTGATGAGCCAGAGTGATGGTAGCAGGAGTCTGGCTCCCAGGCCTGGGATGTGAGTATACTACTACTTACCAGCTTTACAACCTTGAGGAGATTTCTTAACATCTCAGTGTCCTGGTTACCTATTCTGTGGAAGTGCAGTGATCGCAGGAGATATTGTGAAAATTCAATGATAACGTCTGTCTAAGTTACTTTCCGGTATAATACCCAGTAAGGGGGAAGGACAGCGAGAGATGATCAATCCACTCACTAGTTAACGTACTCGTCAATATGCTAGAATGCTAGTCTATTGCACAGACTTAAGTCATGTCTCTTGAATGAAATCATTTAAAAAAATTTTTTTTTAGTATTTATTTTTGAGAGACAGAGAGAGAGAGACAAAGTACGAGTGGGGGAGGTGCAGAGAGAGAGGGAGACACAGAGTCTGAAGCAGGCTCCAGGCTCCGGGCCATCAGCACAGAGCCGGACGTGGGGCTCAAACTCACGGACCGGACCATGAATGAGATCATGACCTGAGCCGAAGTCGGACGCCTAACCGACAGAGCCACCCAGGCACCCCTGAATGAAATTATTTTTAAGGGAATATTATAAAAGGAGATTCTAAGGCAAAGGAATGCGAAATTCAGAGAGGGGGCCTTCCCACCCCTCCGCATCCTGATATCCAAGGACTCAGAGTAGGCTTGATGTATTAATGCATTCTGCAGGTATGTGGGGATGTTTGGTTCCACAACTAGGTAGCTCTAGAGGTCAGCAGTTTCTAGTCCTTTCCGTAGCACTTCATGTTTTTCTTCCTATCACTTACTTTGTTTTCAGCTGCCAACTGTTACCAGCTTAGCATCCCTCTCCCTCTTCTAGCTAGCTGCTTTTATTGAAAATCAGATCATCGAACATGTAAAACAGAGTTAGAAATAAGCAGATTTTGAGAGAAGATGTGTCCAAGAAGTATATGGACTCAAGGAGCCCTATTTTGGCTAGCTTTAGATTTTTTTCCTTTTCTTTTTGCTTATCTCTTGATTCTTCTCTGTTTACAATAGGTGAAAAGTTGCCATAAAGCATTTATACAGATAGTCCAGCATTTATACAGCTTGTAATCACACAGTTTGTAAAAGAAGCACACAAAGTGGAAGGGTTATAGTCTTAAGTAATGTTACTTTGAATATAAAATTGGTCCTTGATGTATGTATCAGTTTCTAGAGTCTTGAAGTACAATCTCCCACAAGAATCACCTGTTTCCCTGAAGTATTTTGGTATTATCGTATGGCCAAAAAACTACCGTGGGTCAATCAAGGAAAGCACATTTAATGTTTTGTAGGGAAACGTCTGCTCAGACTCCACCAGCAGAGAGCCTAATTTATTAAGTAAGGGATGAGACTCAAACACTTGTGTTTTCCAAAAATGGTCCTAAGACACTCTGGAACCCCAATGCAGTTGATCAATTTCTGAAAGGCCATTAAGTAGAACAGTTAGGTCATACTGAAAATGCGGAGGATAAGCTTTAAAGAAATTTTCTTGGAACTTCTACCAACAGACGCTCTGCCACTAACGGGATGTGTGAATCGGAGAGAGGAATTTCTGCAGCATCCAGTGATTACGGGGGAAAACAACTTCTGTTGATCCCCAATTTGGAAGTCGGATCTGAGTTCTACTCGCGGTCTTGCTACCAAACAGATACAAACTCTTAGCAAGTGACCCTTCTCTCGGCCTGAGTTTTTTCTTGTGTAAAAAAACTGGAGTTTTAGTCACTTTGCAAACTACGAGGATGGCTGGAGTCAAAAAGTCCGAGAACAACAAGTGTTGGTGAGGATGTGGGGCCGTCGAGAGCCAGATACACTGATCGTGGGTGCAAATAGGTGGTTTTGGAAGTTGTCTGGGAGCTCCTCGAATGATGACCACACACGGAATTACCGCATGGTGCAGCGGCTTCCTGTCTAGGTACAGACCCAAGAGAACTGAAAACCTACGCCCTCACAACAACTCGTCCATGAATGTTCATAGCAGCCTGATTCAGAATCACTAAAGAGCGGAAACAACTCAAGCCCATCAACTGATTAACGGACAAAGGAAATGTGGGAATCCGCCCAATGGAATATTACTTGGCAATAAAGAAGGATATCCTGACTCATTCTCCAACTTGAACCTTGAAAACATGAGGTTAACCAAAAAAGCCAGTCACAAAGGACCACGGGGTCGTATGACTGCATCTATAGGAAATGCCCAGAATATGCAAATCTAAAGCTTTTACAAAACGTAGATTAGTAGTTGCCTGGGGCTGGGAGGGATGGGTGTGGGGAGTGATGGTTGCGCTGCGTAGGATTTCTTTTTCGGATTATGCAAATGTTCTCAAAATTGTGGTGATGGATATACAATTCTATTAATATACTAAAAGCCACTGAACTGTACAGTTTAAATGGGCAGACTGTGTGACATGCAAATTATATCTAAAACAACTGCTACAAAACAGTAAAAAATCTAGAATTTTAATGCTAGCTACAGAAGATGCCCTTTAAATAAAGGCAAGTTAGCTCCTGGGCATCGTAGCTATTAAACATACTGATTTTTCTTTGTTGTTCTATTACTGATAATGTCTTCATGCCCCAATCAGACATAGCTGAACGGAGAATCTAACTAACCTGGGCTCCTATCTGGTCCAGCCCTCCATTCTCAAACTGGAAGCTTTAATCTTTAGATGATGCAATCTATAAAATGAAGGCGCAGATCTCGATTATTTTCTCAAACTCCTTCCATGCTACTCTTGTCTGTAAATCATGAGAAATCAAAATTTTACTTAAAAAAAAAAGTAACAATGTACTATTCTTTACTGACGAGCCTTACAAAATCTAGGCATTACTATCAGCTCAAGTTATAGTCAGTTTTAATCAAACCTCGGATTTAACGAGAAGGTTCTCCTACCAAGTTATGAAGTCATGACCATAAAAAACCTCAAGTTACCTGTTCTGTTGTGATTACATCTTGACCCAAACCATGAAATCTTCAAAAAAGGCCTGTGTTCTCTGTTATGCTCAGGTGCTGAATACTTTGGGACTCATTTAAAGGAAGCATACCAACCAGTTTCTGCAGACGTCTGTGATCGCGCAAGACCTGGTGCTCACCTCCAGATGTCACTTCCCTTAGAAAACAAGGAGGACTTGATGACTTCCGGGGCCATCCAAGCGTAAGTGCCCGCGGCGCTCATTTTGGTAGTCCTGTGCCATTCTCTCGCTAACCCAAAGTCTGTGATCTTCAACGTTTTATTGCAGATGTTGTCATGCTCTATCTTCTCGAGCAGCAAAACTTAAAAAAAAGAAAAAAAAAAGAATCAAAGGTGGAGTATTTTCACATTCTTTTAATTTTCTGATCCCAATGTTTCTTTGGTATTGAAGATACAACCTTCACCGCAGTCAGAAGATAAGTGAGAAATGGGCTTGTATTTTACCACCTTGCCTTACTTCCATCACCTATGTCATAGTTGCCTGCAGTGATAAGTTGTTTATTTTTTTAATCCACAGGCACAACACAGCTTAGCACTCTTTATGAATGTTTCCTTTTATGAGAAAGTAAATGATTTCTAGGGGCAAGAAACATTTACTGAGGTATCACAGATAGGATCAGAAGTCTGTGAGAGTTCCGCCCCCCCAACCCTCCCCCCCTTAAGAAAAGAATACACTGTTTTCTTCCTAGAAGGTAGGTCCTGATCTAAAGGCAGAGCCTCTACTGAATGTTTTAAAAAAAATTTTTAATGTTTTTATTTATTTTTGACACAGAGCATGGGGGGGGGGGGATGGCAGAGAGAGAGGGAGACACAATTTGAAGCAGGCTCCAGGCTCTGAGCTGTCAGCACAGAGCCTGACCCGGGTCTCGAACTCACGGACCGCGAGATCATGACCTGAGCCGAAGTCGGACGCTCAACCGACTGAGCCACCCAGGTGCCCCATCTACTGAATGTATTAAAGAACACAGCAAACAGATGGACTGTCACCCTAAATCGTTACTAGCAAACACTATCTTATAGTAAATTTGCAAAATGCTTACAGGTTTTTAACTCCTAAAGATACTTGATGAACTGCGTTGCTTTACTGAAGGTCAAAATAGAGCAAAAAGTAAAAGCTTGAGATAAATATTATGCAGATGCTGCTTTTCCTAGCCCTCAGCCTCCTGTCAACATACAGAATGTACAGAGCAACTTCCAGGAGCTGAGGTCACTGCCAGAGTCGGCCCCTGAGCTCTCGTGTAACAGTAGCTAAAACAAACATGCTTCTCAGTCTCTCCCCACCTGCACCCCGTACACCCTGCCCCTTCAAGAACCCGGGGTTCTTCTCTGCCCCTGCTTGATTTCCCTCTGCCTATACCCATGCAGAAACGTTCCTGAGGTTTTCCATGTGACACTAATGTAGCTACTTACCCGGTTCCTCCTTCCCATCTGCTACAAGGGGAAGAGTTTAAACCTACTGTTTTTGCTAACTTATCTCATTCCTTAAAAACCTGCAATCTGCCTTGTAGCCCCACTGGTCTTTTTCCAAAGCACCCCCTCCACCCCACCCCACCCCCACCTTCTCCAATTCCCCTGCCACAGAATTACAGTCGTCCTAACTGGCCAGGATAATGATCTACCAGCAGATTCACCTTCCTGAAGTGTCATAGCATTCCTTTATTTTTACACCTTCCACACACAAACTCCCAATATAGGCAACAATGTGGATGAATCTCAAAACCATCACGCCAAGTGAAAGCAGCTGGACATGAAAGGTGACATACTATGATTCCATTCGTATTCTGGAAAAGGGACAGAAATCAGATCCGTGCCTGCGGAGGCTGATGGCATAGGCTTCACTGCTAAGCTCCACGAGAGAACTTTTTGGGGCCATGCCAATTCTCTATCTTAGTGGTGGGGGTGGTCGTTGTCACAGGATGATACATATTTGTCAACTCCTTCAGAGGGTGAGTTTTACTGTATGTAAGTTACAGGGTAGTAAACCTGCATTAAACAAAAAGCAAAAACCAACTCCCATGATTCCTGATGACTCAGAGACAATGTCCACACTCCAACATGTGGGCCACCAGAGCTCTACCACCGCACAGCAACCTACCTTTCAAACGACATCACCTTCCTCTGTATGTGTTTCCTCCACTTAAACTCCTCATCCAGCCCCCACAGGGTCCTCTTGGTGGAACCTTCCAAATACCTCTAAGCAAAGGAAAATTACTCCCCCACCCTTACTCACACGAACCTTGTGTTTCTATTACGGCCCTTATAAAACATAGAGTACTAGAAATATTTGTTTTCACCTCTGACTTCTCCACTTAGACTACTAGCTCTGAGAGAGCGAGTGTGTGAGTTAGAGAGTGAAACAAACCAGAGGGAGTGAGAGACAGAAAGTTGGTAGGGAGAAGAGGAAGAGGGGGACAGACACGCTCAATTCACATTCATACTGTTATCTACACCGCGTCTGGTCTTCTTCAAGGCAGGTGCTTCACGTTTACAGATGAACAAAACACGCACATTGTTACAGTTGCCCTTTGCAGGTGCCCTTCCCGCCTAACAGAAGCAACAACAAATAAGAGAGTCCCTAACAAGTGCTGAGTTTTCCCATACAGCTTGCACACATCCATTACTTCATTCAAGCCTCACAAAAATCCCAAGAGATGGGCCTTATCAGAGGATAGTGTTGAAAAAAAAAACAAAGCAACAGAACGAATCCATTTAAACAGTAATCCAAATTTCAGAGTAAACAGGGCATGGTGGGGGGGGGGGGTTGTTACTCAGGTTTTACCTTGAAAACCAAAATGAGGGGCGCCTGGGTGGCGCAGTCGGTTGAGCGTCCGACTTCAGCCAGGTCAGGATCTCGCGGTCCGTGAGTTTGAGCCCCGCGTCGGGCTCTGGGCTGATGGCTCCGAGCCTGGAGCCTGTTTCTGATTCTGTGTCTCCCTCTCTCTCTGCCCCTCCCCCGTTCATGCTCTGTCTCTCTCTGTCCCAAAAATAAATAAACGTTGAAAAAAAAAATTAAAAAAAAAAAGAAAACCAAAATGAAAATAACTCCATTTCATCTTTTTTTTTTTTAAAAGGACATTTGTGTAACATTGTTGCAACCATGTGCTTGCTCTTAAAGGGATAAAAGTAAACAAGTATGTATGGAGGTCTTTTAGAATCAACCATCCAAACAACACTGGAGACCAGCATAAGACATTCTTCTTTTTTGATTTGTAGAACATGATCATAAAGAGGACCATTTTCCCAAACAGTTACAAGAACAATGAACGTCTGCCAAGTGCCTTCTATTCGTCAGATTCATTTACGGGTATTTTAATCATAAAATCCACACCCACAGTGCAATGGGTAGAATCTATTTATTATCCGTACTTTACAGATAAGGAGGCTGAGACACAGGTGTTGGGTAATCTGTCAGGTGGCTAAAGGAGCAGCAAAGCTCCAGCAGTCTGACCCAGAGAAACACACTCCTAACTACTAACCACATTGCTCAGGTGACAGCTTTTATCAGTTTTTCACAAGAGCCTCCTTTATCCTTTAGAAATCTCTCTCCATTCAGGTGACCATTCTTTTCTTTCTGATTTCCTATCAGTGGCTAATGATCAACTGATCTCGGTGGAGGCAGTCTAGCGCAGTGAGGAAGAACGTGCACACTCTAGGACCAGACGGCTTGCTTTGGATTCTGCACTTTTGTTTCTTTGCCTGTCATGGGAATGGGGGCAGTAGGTACACCATAAGGTGGCAATAAGCAAGAGATGAGAACATCAGATGCTAAGAACACTGGAACGTAGCATTTTGTAAAGATCTCTCTCTCACACACACACACACACACACACACACACAGCCTTTATCAATGGGTTTGAAAGTGTTTTTAGTAACTTTTTCAAAATCACCTTCATGGACTTCAGGGAACCTCGACTCTTTTTCAAGACTTGAAATTTCATTTTGCAGTGGATTTGCATTTTATCTGCATATCATCAAATGTTTACAGAATTAAACAGTCCTAAAAGTCAAAGAGTTCATGCAAATGGAGAGAGCCAACACTAGATTTATTTTTTTTTAAGGGCTTTTATTTTTTTTATTTTTTATTAAAAACAAAATTTTTTTTAACGTTTATTTATTTTTGGGACAGAGAGAGACAGAGCATGAACGGGGGAGGGTCAGAGAGAGAGGGAGACACAGAATCGGAAGCAGGCTCCAGGCTCTGGGCCATCATCAGCCCAGAGCCTGACGTGGGGCTCGAACTCACGGACCGCGAGATCGTGACCTGGCTGAAGTCGGACGCTTAACGGACTGCGCCACCCAGGCGCCCCA